GTTCGGGGGAATGGGGGGGGGGGTTCTGTTCGTGGGGAATGGGGGGGTTCTGTTCGTGGGAAAGGGGGTTCTGTTCGTGGGGAATGGGGGGTTCTGTGTCTTTGGGAAACGGGGGGGTTCTGTTCTGGGGGGGGGGTTCTGGGGGGGGGTTCGTGGGGAATGGGGGGGTTCTGTTCGTGGGGAATGGGGGGGGGGGGTTCTGTTTGTGGGGAATGGGGGGTTCTGTTTGTGGGGAATGGGGGGTTCTGTTCGTGGGGAATGGGGGGGGGGGTTTCTGTTCGTGGGAATGGGGGGGGTTCTGTTCGTGGGGAATGGGGGAGGGGGGTTCTGTTTGTGGGGATCTTGTGGGGAATGGGGGTTCTGTTCGTGGGGAATGGGGGGGATTCTGTTCTGGGGAATGTGGGGGGGGTTCGGGGGAATGGGGGGTTCTGTTCGTGGGGAATGGGGGGGGTTCTGTTCTGGGAGGGTTCTGTTCGTGGGAATGGTTCTTGGTAGTGTACTTCGGGGTCTTTAAGTTGTGGCTCTATGCAGAGTAAAAAAAAATGTATAGAAACGTACATTTATACGCTTTTTATTCGTCATTGCTAGATCTGTTTATTTTTCACATTTACTTTATTTGATGCTTCATTTACATTTTACTTCTTACATATATTCACATTTCTTTTACATATACATTCGTCACCATAAATTCCCGTATTTTGCTTTCTTTTTCCAGCATATTCTCAAAGTCGAGACGGACAAAAAAACAGTCGCCTTCAACCATACTCAGAATGGGCAATGGTACACCTCATCTTACTCTTTTGGGAAAATTCAACTCTCCGTTAAGGTATTACTATTATGACCAGGAAAAGAATCTATCTCTATGTCTGTGTTGGACAGTATCTACAAATCTTTTGTTCTTTACTTTATTTTCTATAATGATTCTCTCTTTTTCCTGTGCATAGGGTAAAGTGGAAATCGCGGACTGCAACCTCCTGGCCCCTACAGTAGGTAAGTCGACGACGCATCTCCCTACTCCCGCTCCTACTACTGCTGCCCCGACTCCTCCTCCTACTGCAGCTGCCCCAACTGTCCCTCCTGCTACCGCTGCCCCAACTGTCCCTCCTGCTACCGCTGCCCCAACTGTCCCTCCTGCTACCGCTGTCCCCCCACCACTGTTCCTCCTCCCCCTCGCACTATCGCCTCACTCCCCGCCATCACTTCAGAACCCCCTTATCAGCCGCCCACAAGCAAAGATAAAGTCACAACGGCGGGTGTGGGCGGAGGCATAGCGGAACAGCCCGTGCACCAGCCACCCACGTCCACGCCGGACCTCGCTCTGCCACCTGCGCCCTCAAAGGAAGGTATTGTGAACTTCCCACACGCTCTCGAGATTCCGTAGAAAATGAGCGTGTTGGTAACTGAATATTTAAGTAGTCATAATAACTGTATTTAGTAAGGGAGACTAAACTTTTTTGGAGCGTGATCTTATGTTTTAATAACGTCTTCTCGTACGTTTTACCTGTAGACTGGAGTGTAACCAATGTACATACGACCAGGTAGCTCCATCTCCACTTGGCTTGTTGAACCCAAAGAGGAAAATGACTCTTTCTCAAGAGTATTCTGACGGCTGTTGAGGGTTTGGGATCTCTTCCCTGTTGATTTAAAATTTACTTCTGATAAATCATACTAATTATCATGTATCTAATTATATCTGATATCCCATGGCGTACTCTCTCTTTGGCTAAACATGATGAAGACTCCCTTTTTACCCTGTCAGTCTGTGCCATATTTCATGGTCAGTGTTTTTTCTGTGCATTTTCAGCAATAACAAAGGTAGAAAAAATAATCGATAAGGAAACCAGAGAAAAAATATACATATATAATATTTGCAATGAATAAAGGCAAAGAAGCTTGGCTTGGCTCAGAGGTTACCAACTAGGGTTTTCATCTAGACTGTTTGGAGCTACCTGTGTTAAAGTACCTTGATTATAACCTTGTGTATAGTAGATTAAACTTAGCATTTCACTATTAGTTATAGGTGTAGCTAGTATTGACATTTGTCCTCGTAGTATTATTATGCATGGTTCAGTTAGATTGTATGATAACCTAATGCGCAATACAGTAGTCTTTTGTTATATTGGTTTTAGTAGATGGTGTTATAAGCTGTAGACCTAAACCTTTCTATTGGTTTTACACTGATCATGCATGACTTACACATGATAGATTGTAGTCTAATGTATAATGAATAATGTCTTTGAAATTATATGTATATATATTATTTAATTTCCAGTTGTGATATTTCGCTTTGAATAATTAAACATCATTTGGAGATGAATATAGTTGCAGAACACGGAAGTAAGTAATAGATCCTTTTCAGGAATGTACATTCTATATATATTTAACCATTTATTTAGGCAATGATCAATAAAATTAAAGTAAGAATAATTAATACAGAGGTGCGTGGATTGGTAATTAGTCACAGACAGATAGTGAGCTAAAGATATAGTGATATTTATAGGCTAAATAGACAAAGACAAATAGCTGATTAGACAGCGATGCGGATAGGTAGATAAACAGAAGTAGATAAACAGGTAAACAGAGATGAATAGATAAACAAGACAGACAAATTTGGTAGTTGGAGATAGAGAGGTGAATAGCCAAAGAACAAGAGATAAATAAGTAAATTCTTATGGATTATCAGATGAAAAAGAACATAAATAATTTTGCTTTAGCTTGCATTGCAGATTAAAGCAATATAGCGTTCAGATTTCATCATATGAGCTTAATTAAGAGGAATACAAAGTTGTCCGTGCAGTGCTGGGAGGTAATGTGATTGCAGGCACATTAAACGAGGTACTTCCTGGCTGTCAGGCAGGTACTAGATAAGAGTCAACTTACTGCCAGTGTTTGCTGTTCCTGGAATAAGTGAAAAGTCTACTCTGGCTGTCTATTGCTACGATTTTCACATCAACCTGTCTATCTCCTGTGCTTAGGGTCTATTTCCTTTTATTTTGGGCAATTGGCTTTGCATGTGTCGTATGCACGTATACCCTGTCGCAGGTTGCAGCTTCTAGTAGATTTGAATTTCAGTGTATGTTGGTATAATCTCTTTCTCTCACACTGAAAAACGTCATGCACGCAGACATGCATACACGCAACCTCCACTCATTTTATATTTGGTTCTCATTTCTCTCCTACTTTCTCGCTCATCTTGCTTTAAAGTCTTCTGAATGGCGCTGAAAGAGCTTTCCACTTCAGCTGGGTCATTCCTGTATTATGAATATTGTATAAAACATCCGCTGCTTCACTGTATTTTTTTTGGTGTTGGAGATTTTAAGGTCTTGTAATAATCTGCAAAATTTTCGGCCTTTGAGTAATTTTTTTTTTTAAGGGATACCACATCGGGATACACCAAGGTTAGTTATTGCCAAATACGTGTATTCTTACTAGTGAATTCGGTATTGCTTTCATTTTTAATTAAAAACAGGTTCATATTCTCTGGAAGTGAGCATGGGTATACAAAGTGGTCGATCGCGCCAGTCTCTCAGTTTCCTTTCAACGATAAAAGATCGAATCCCTCTTAGAAAGCGATTCCGAATAAACGCCTTTTTTGACAGAGGAGTCGTGGGTGTGGTCGTTGGGCGGCGTGGGGGGCGTGCCGGTCGTGCCCCTGACCATCGTGGCGGTGGTCGTGCTGGCCGTGCTCATCACCCTGGGCGTGGTCTGGTGGCGGAGGAGGAGGAGCCAGAGCAAAAACGTGACGTCGAAGGCGGTGCAGCTCGACAGCATCCGACACACAGGATACGAGCCGATCGACACGAGGGAGGAGAAGGAAGGGGGCGCGGAGGGGCCGAGGGAGAACGAGGGCGTGGTCAGGGATCCCCAGCTTGACCAGATGGACGACTCTTATGGACCGCAAGTGAACCACGGGCGTCCTCTGACCTCGTTCAGCAACAGCGGCACATAGAACCATCACCACAGGGTGTGCCGAGTGAGATAGGTCTGTAGGGAAGCATCTGTGGAGGTTTGGAAAATCGTGCGTTTCTAATTTATTTCTGACTATCACGTCTTACTGCGGATCGGTCGTCTCTGCGCTAAGTTTCTGTATTTTTTTTTTTCTTTTCAGCTTTTATTTCTCACTCGTAAGAAACTTTTTCGATGACTCTCTAAGTTTTCCTTTTTTTTTTTTTTTTTTTTGCCTTTTATGCATATTTAGTTCAGTATTCACGCCGAAAGGGCGGATCATAGAATATCATTATTTCTACCTCGCATTTTACATTTACGCATTTTTGGTTTAATTGTACCGTTTACAGAGGAAGATCTGAGTGATCTCAAGTAAGTCTTATGATGTTTCGTGTTTTTCTTTTATGTCACAATTTTAAGTGTAAGAAAGACATGCTTAAACCCGTTTGTTATGTATAATGATATATCGGTGCATGTATTAATATATAATGTAACATTAATATGGTAAATGCTAATCCATGGTATTAGTATAACATGGCACTGGAGACAACCATTTTCATTTCAGGAAGACATACCTTAGAGACATCTATATCGTCAAGCTTATATTACATAGACTGGCATGCTTGAACACACACACACACACACACACACACACACACACACACACACACACACACACACACACACACACACACACACACACACACAATGTCTTTAATATTTTTTAGGGGAAATTTAAGGCCTTAAAGTCTTAAAAACGGAGCCTTTTCTGTCGCAGGTCTTAAAATGGTCTTAAAAATTGCTCAAGCCATATCTTTGTTCTCGTAAATTAGTACGTCTTAAAAAGTCTTAGAAAGGTATTAAATATCACCAGCATTATACCTGCAAGAACCCTAAAGAAAGAAACACGAAGGTCTAGTAAATGTACCTCATTATTGTGTGAAGTTATGCATTCTTCGTTACAGCCTTTTAGAAAACTTAACGTAGCTTATTGTCCTTCTTTGTAAACCGCATGCTAATTATCAGTGGTCTGCTGTACAAACCTTTATTTAAGTATGTCTGTATCATAGAAATACAGAAAGAATGATCTGCAGTACGTGTTTATTTGCAGTATTTGTAATATGTTCCTGTATGTTCAAAGTCTTATACTTCATGTATAATTTTTGAGACATAGATAATAAAATAGATGAAAGGTTTAAATAGCAATGTTTATTAAGGTATTATCTAAAATTGTCGAATTTTAAAAGAAAAGTCTTATACTTCATTCATAGTTTTTGAGACATAGATAATCAAATATATGAAAGGTTTAACTAGCAATGTGTAATAGAGTATTATCTAAAATTGTCGAATTTTAAAAGAAAAGCTAAAAATGTCATGAAATGTAGATATAAGACAGAACGTATTTCCTTGTGTATTATTTTCTCTTTAAATGGTAAGTCGTATGTAATCTGTAATTATTTCTCTGTAATAAAATGATGTTTTCCTGTTTTGTTTATATTTCCTTTTCAGCGACAAAAATAAAACTTATTTATAGGAAATTTATGATTTATGTGATTCTCTCTCTCTTTCACTTTCTCTCTAGTTCTCTGTAGGAAATTTCACAGTATGATTTCTCTGATTCTCTCTCACTATCCCTTCTCCGCACCCCTTCACTCTCTCACTCTCTCTCTCCTTCATCACTCTCTCACTCACTCTCTCTCTCTCACTCTCTCTCTCTCTCTCTCTCTCTCTCTCTCTCTCTCTCTCTCTCTCTCTCTCTCTCTCTCTCTCTCTCTCTCTCTCAACTCCTTTAAGTGGCAGTGTTTCCCATTATTATTTGGCGTTGTCTTGGTCGGGAGTGAGTCTCTACATATATTTACCATGATTCACAGCCTTGGGGATGGGCTGAACAACGTTGAAACTGAACAAACGTTTTGGAATGACGTTTCCTCACTGAGGTTCTAGCATTACATATAATAATGTGATTGTATGTATTATTGTATTGTGGTCTAGCAATGAATATAATAAGAGTGTTTGATATGCACAAATTTAGAGGTAAAGGAGATAGTGTCTTGATTATGAAACATGCCGTGGTTACTTTACTGAAGGGAAAACAACACGACAGGATGCCACAAGTTGAACACGTCAGTACTTGAGGGATTGTGTGACAGGAAGGAGTGAATGAACTCGGGTAGGACCGGACTTACTGTACAAACAGCTATGTGTATGCGTTTATTTGTGTGCATCTGCGTCCGCACGTGTGTGTGTGTGTGTGTGTGTGTGTGTGTGTGTGTGTGTGTGTGTGTGTGTGTGTGTGTGTGTGTGTGTGTGTGTGTGTGTGTGTGTGTGTGTGTGTGTGTGTGTGTGTCAATGAATACAAGAACAAGTATATAGAAATGCATATACAAACCCATTGTATAATATTCACTAGATTTAATAGCAATGGCAACAATAGCAATAGTGAAATAGGTTTCATAGCCATGTCTGGGTCACTTAGGGACTATCGATGTGAATGAGGGTTTATATATAAATGAAAGGATAAGCATTTTCAATTTATTATTTTATTCATATTGGTTGAACTCAATTTCCGGTGTAAAAATATATATTACAGCTCCGTTATTACATGTTGCAAGACAAGGCATGCAAATTACATGTACATTACCATATGACACTTAAACTAAACCTATCTCATGACTTATCAGCCAGAAGAAAAAACTCCTATGGGAGAAATAAGATTCACAATAAACATATATATTTCTTCTAACTTCCGGGTTTAAATAATCGCATTCACACAAGGAAATCAAACATGACAAGAAGCATATAAAAAATTCATTCACTCAGCGGCCCCCTTCCCCTCCCCCCGAAAAAATGACAAAATGCCTTAAAACAAACATACAAGTATTGATCCTACCAAGAGCATTATTGATAAGAATGAGAATGATACGGTTGTGATTAAAATAATAGAAAATGGTAGTAGTGGTAGTAGTAACGATAGTGATAATAATAATAATGATAAGAATAACGATAAAGATAACTATAATGATAATAATAATAGTAGTAGTAGTGGAAGTAGAGGTAGTAATAGTAGCAGTAGTAGTAGTAGTAGTAATAATAATAATAATAATAATAATAATAATAATAATAATAATGATAATAATAATAATAATAAATCAATTAATAAATTATCTAAGCAATATAAAATGAAAATCACCAGTCTGGGTTCTCCGAGGGAACTCTCGCACCCTTTCGTCTACTACGGGAGGCAGCCACGCATGCAATGACCGCAATCACGACGACGAGAGCTGCAATGGCAATGGCGATGATCATCCAGGTTGCAAGCCCTTCTGCCGTCGGCTCTGCCGTCGGCTCGTTCGGTATGAAGACGGTGGCCACGTTCGAGAAGGAGCTGTGGATGACGGGGAGGTTGTTGGAGACGTGGGTTTTGGCGTCAAGGTTTTTCGTGGGAAGTGATTCGGTGTTGTGAAAGGGAAGTGAGAGGGAAAGGGAATATTATATTGTATATTTGTATTATATGACTGAATGTTTGAATATTTTAGACGTGGGTTTTGAAGGTGAGGTTTTGTGGGAAGTGATTCGGTGTTGTGAAAGGAAAGTGAGAGGGAAAGGGAATATTATATAGTTGTATATTTGTATGTATGTATATGATTGAATGTTTGAATATTTTAGATGGGGTTTTGGCGTGAAGGTGAGGTTTCGTGGGAAATTATTCGGCGGTGTTGTGAGGGGAAAGTGAGCTAGAAAGGGAAAAATGTATAATGGTATATTTGTTTGTATGTAGGTTAGGTTAGGTTAGACCAAATTTCGTTTTCTCACATAAACTTGATCGTAAATCAGTTTAATCCAGGATAGGTTACATTAGCTGATTGAATGTTTGAATGTTTTCGTATTTTTAGTTGTTTTAGACGTGGGTTTTGGCGTGAAGGTGTTTCGTTGGAAATTGTTCGGTGTTGTGAATGGAAAGTGAGACAGAATGGGAAAATTATATAGTGGCATATTTGTATGTATATGTTTGATTGTTTGAATTGTATGCGCGTATGTATGTATGCGTGTATGTATGTATGTATGTATGTATGTATGTACTTACGTACGTACGTATGTATGCATGTGTGTATGCTTGTATGTAAATATACACGTACCTACGCACGTATGCCTGTATTTATTCACACAAACACGCCTTACGACTGGCACGCGACCTTACCTCAGCTTCCCCACATCGTCTGCCGCCCGTAGCACCAGGTAGTAGAGCTTCCCAACCTCAAAATCTTCTAAGTACAGCGTAACGTTCACCGTCTCACCGGCGTTGATGAACAGCTCTGGCTTTTGCTTTGAATCCTCGAAGGTCAGAAGCGTCGTGTTCTCGGCATCGAGGTCAACGATGTCGCTGTCGTTGCTGCTGAAGCGAATCTCGTAGGCGGACACTGCTCGAGAAGGACGCTTGGCTTAGCACGGGTTGCGGATTGTGAAATTTGTATGATGTTTTTTTTAAATTTTGTACTTTTTTCCATCTAACGTACTTTTTTTTTCATCTAACTTGTACTTTTTTCCATCTAACTTGTACTTTTTCCCATCTAACTTGTACTTTTTTCCAACTTTGTACTTTTTCCTATCTAACATACTTTTTTCCCCATCTAACTTGTACTTTTTCCCATCCAACTTGTACTTTTTTCCATCTAACTTGTATTTTTCCCATCCAAGATGCAATAGAATAATAAAGAAGGATAAATCAATGAAATGAAAGATAAAACAATGAAATTCGATAAAGGTCATGCTCTCTCACCTATTCCGTAATCAAGGTCATCGCCAGTAGCCGTCCAGGTGAGGGTCAGGTTGGCTTGGTAGACCCCGCCCACCTGCAGGTCCGTGACACGAGAGGGCGGCAGAACATCTCCAGTTTCCGGGATTTTAGTCACCTGGAATAAACGTTCTTGTTCATGTACGTCTTGAAGATCAGTGTGGAAAAAAGATCAACAATATTTATAAAAATTAGAAAGTTTTTTTATCTTTTATTATTATTATTTATTATATTTTTTTTTTTGTGAAATCGTACGTGAAACTGTTAGCTTTCGATCCAAAAAATCGGCTTCGTATGTTTCCACTCTACTGCTATAGATATGGAAGAAGTAGTCAATGGCAGATATTAAACCTAAAAAAAAAAAAAAAAAAAAAAAAAAAAAAAAAAAAAAAAAAAAAAATCATTACCACGGGAATCCTTCAATTCCAATGAAATTCCCACCTGGATGGATCCGGCTGCCACGTAGCGGCTGAACTCCCCGGCAGACTCCGCTGTCTCCGCGTTGAAGGGGACTTTGGAACCGCAGCAGTACGTCTGCATCTCTGCGGTCAGGATACTTCAAGTTAGGAATATTCTAAGACGTTAGAACTGTTTTAAGTGTTTGTTTTCGGATGTAAGAGCATGAGGCATCTATTATGTATGAGGTATGTGATGTTTTTAAATTTCAGAGCATCTTTTACTCTCAATTACTCTTAATCCACTCTCACATTAGGCATCTATTATGTATAATGAATGTGATGCTATTAATTTTAGGGCATCTTTTACTCTTAACCCACTCTCATATCAGAAAAAAATACAGAACAATGCAGAGTAGAAGCATGCAGAAGTCCAGAGACGAAGGGAACGGCAATGACAATATCTTCACTCTCTTCACAAAGAAGCCAACCCTCCTTCCACCGAGCGGGGAAATTATGAGATGGATTTTTGTAAAACAGATACTGGGGAAGGAAGGTACCCTTTTTTCGAGAGGGAGAGGGAGAGGGAGGAGGAAAGAGGAGGGAGGGAGGGGAGGAGGAGAGAGGGAGAGGGAGGAAGAGGAGAGGAGAGAGGTGTGTAATGAAATGAACATATCTATCATGAGGCAAATTCAGTCAAATCATCTTAGTGAGGAATTTGTTACTATGATCGAGAATGAAACCCCTGTTTTATTGCCAATCAGACTTCATGTTCATTTCACCAGCTGTTGCATTTCTGTTGAGAATCACCCCTCCATCTTTTCCAAGGAGGGCCAGTGCCACTCAGTGCCGAAGCGAGCGACGCACTCACCAAGGGGCTTTGCCGGGACAGATCTAGCGTGACGTCGTTGAGGTGCTCGGTTGACTGTGAACCCGCTGTTGATGAAGGCGCTGCCGTTGTTCCATGCCTGGGGAGGAAAAAAAAAGGATACACTTTAACCCTTTATCGCTTTTGTGTTCTGTGGCTTCACACCAACGCTTGATAATCTCATTCCCATCAGTCTTCTCTCTTTGTTCCATGCCTGGGGAGGAAAAAAAAGGATACACTTTAACCCTTTATTGCGCATGATAATCTCAATAGGCTCCCATCCGTGCTCCTCCTCTTTTCAGGGTCAGTTATCATTAGTTATGAAAATTTTTAATCGTGCCAGTAGCTCCGCGAGTAGGCCCCTTACCTGAGCCCTGACAATATATCTGCCAGTGAAAGGGTACTGCGTGAGATAGCGGGAGTAAGTGCCGTCGCCAGCCTGGGAGTCGGCGCCCTGTCCATTGTCCAGGAGGTCCAGCTCGATCGCCTCGTCTGGAGTGCTCGTGTGGCTGATGTACGCCCTGTGGGGAGAGAAGCCGGCCTGTGGTGTAACTTGTCTTAGGTATCACTTGCATAGCACAGTGTGTACGAGTAATTAGACTCGATGGCAGCAGAAACAGGAATCTTGCGAACAGAGATATTACAGGTGTGGAATTCATGTCGAACAAATTGCATCAGGAACAACGAAGGGAAGAACAAGAAAACACGCGAATATGCTGAAGGCCTTTTCGCTTTTACTTCGTCAGGGCATTCGTGTGTTTTCTTGTTCTTCTCTTCGTTGTTCCTGTTGCAAAGAGATATTACTGCACTCTATATTGTTATAAAGTGCAATAACAGGAACTTTATTTACACATACTTAACGGGTTACAGTGCCTGACTGTCCTTACCTGACTGTTGCACCAACAACAGGGTTGCTGCCCTGTTTCACCTCTGCATATACAATGACTGGAGAAACAGTTGCATCGACACCACTTGGTCCGGAACTTGCCTGTGGAAGCAATCAGTTGTTTATCAGCTCAAGAGTTAGAACCTCGAGTGTATAAGCAGATGCAAGCAGAAATATACTTGAGGATCTATTGCTTCTTAGAACTTACCCAAGCACGAGTGATGATAGGGAGGCTGTCTGGGTTCCTTGCCTTGGCCGTAATGTCTACTTGGATGTAATAGTTCTCGTCGCCTGACAGATCGGCTATCCACGTCCATATTCCGGCCTTTGGGAGGACAAGGAATGACATTACTCGGATGTCTTGGTCAAGATCAAGCAAAGAGAGAAATTAGTCACAACTTATAACATGACCTACGACTGAAATGGGAAAATACCCCTTTCGTCGTAATGATTAAGATAAGCTGATCATCGCAGGGTCCATGGCTTACCTCAGCTAAGGGCACTTTTATGGTCCAACTCTCGATAAGAGAGTCAAAGGTCGCCGTTTCTACAAGGGTTCCATCAGGCCGTATCAGGTATGGGGCAGACACGGTGTGCTTCACGGCGCTTGTCCTCAGTTGGAAGAGCATGTCGCGCCCCACCGAGGCATCGACAGGGAATTCCATCCTTAATTGCTTCTCTGTTCCGGCGTAAGGATACTCGTGTATCTGAATAAAATGTACAAGGTAATGTTAGGATGTCTGAATCAAATATCAAACGGGCATTGTACACACACACACACACACACACACACACACACACACACACACACACACACACACACACACACACACACACACACACCACACACACACACACACACACACAACACACACGAGAGAGAGAGAGAGAGAGAGAGAGAGAGAGAGAGAGAGAGAGAGAGAGAGGAGAGAAGAGAGAGAGAGAGAGAGAGAGAGAGAGAGGAGAGAGAGAGAGAGAGAGAGCGAGAGAGAGAGATCCAGCTGATAAATACAATGGAAAAAAGGAGCCAATCTGGTAATAAATTTCCAGTTACACACCTTGACTCTGGTATCAGCCAACGTGTCTCCGGGCTGGTACGTGAGCGCTCCGAGGAAGGCATCGAGGAGTTGGCTTCCGCTGTCTGAGTCAAATACTGTGTATGTTTTCCCATCTGTCTGCTGGGCAATGCTCTCCAGTTGCTGGTCTGCTGTTTCACTGTGGGACAAGGAACAAGCAGTTAAATAATGAGACATGACATCTTGGGGGCAAAAAAGGTATATTCAATTTAGTTTAGCGAGATTTACAAAGGAAGATAGATAGATAGAGATAGATAGATAGATAAATAGCTAGATACATGGATAGATAAATAGACATAGATTGATAGATATACAGTATAATGCATAACGATCAAAGTGTTGCCACCAACCCGAAAGCGATAGTAACAACTCGGATGCCAGATGCCACCAACTGGGCCTGAATGTCGCGAATGTAAGGATATGTGTTTTCTTCTCCATCAGTAATGAGCAAAATCACTGCGTTCTTTTCTCCATTCAGCATCTGTAAATGAACACAATATATATTTTTCGATGAGACATGGTTCTCCTTAGGTTAATTCTACCACAATGAAGTGCAAACGTTAAAATAGTATGAATATCTCCATGAAAATAACATAAAAACACCCAGATATTTCAAGACATTCCTGACCTATCAACGTATGACTAGACAGATAATTATAATTTTTCATCTCACATAGCTGGTTTCTAAAAATATTTTCACTCAAAGGTTGCTGTGGTATGCTCAATGCATAGTGTATCTGTCATTAGTGAATTCTAATTCTGCTCAGACCAGAGTCCCAATAGCAGAAAGGGGCTCATTAAGCCACCAGTGCTTCTCATCTTTTCAGGATCAGCTATTATTAGACAAACTGAACTATGGAAAGTGTCGCAGCATCAGAAAAAGTCACGCACATCGTTCATGGCGCGGGACAGTCCTGCTCCTATGCTGGTGGCCTTCCTCAACTTGGTGTCTATAATGTCGGCGAGCATCTTCCGGGACTCTTCGCCTTCTATCATGGTGAGAGGAGCTTCTACATTTGCAGTCCCTCTGCAATGGATGAAAGTCAAGGTGACGTGAAATGTAAAAATACTTATACACATGATTGGTATATTTCGTTTTTTGACGTATGCCTGTTATTATCTGAAAAAAAGAATATGAAAAAAGTAAGAGAGCTTCTCCAAAACTCTCTTGGGAACTGACCCGAACTTGATGATGCCCACGGAGCTGCCGTCAGCCACCTCGTGAAGGATCCAGCGCCTAGCCGTCGTCTGGAGCTTCTTAATCCTGTCGTAGTCCCTCATGCTGTAGGAGTAGTCGAGGACCAGAGCGAATTTAGCCGCCTCCTGACGCAGCACGGTGAATTTGGTCGGCGAAGAGGTCGAGGTTGGTGGGTTGCTGAGGGTCAAGAATGCATGTTTAGATATTGTATACTTTTTCTTTTCTTCTTTTTTCCTCTAAATATATCAATGCTTTACTTAAGAATATTTGATTTTCATTTACAGTGGCACGTGAAAAAAAATTAATCCTCACTTGTTGCCTTTGAAATCGGAATGTGTCTCTATGACCGCCCAGACGGAGCGGTGGTCACATTTGTTGTTTTGCTTGGTCGGTGCCCGCAGGTTGTGGCGCTTCGATTCACCGCAGAACTCCTCGACCTTTGGTGAAAAAAGAGTACCGGTGGTTTCAAACTAAGCCACTGTCATCGCCCCGTGGCTAATCCACTTATGAATTTAAATCACAACCCACTGGTAACTTTCCACGCCTAATCTTGCCCCCCCCCCCCAAAAAAAAAAACGACCCCGCTAAATTTACAAGAGGAAAGACAAGCCCCTTTCCTTCGGTTGAGGTGATTCCCAAAGACACCCTAATCCGAAAGCCTTACGTTTGCGATGTAGTAGAGGGACATCAGCGAAGAGACGGCGACTTGGTCTTCGTCAGGAATGAAGCGGCAGTTCTTGTCTGGAAGATCGTCGACGTACGAGCACTCAGACCCCGTGATGTCTCTGTGGTTGGATGTACACAGTGCGATATTATAGACAACGATGGGGGGGGGGGTATTATCAGAGTATGATATCGTGTGAAAAACGTAGGGTATGTGAAAAAAACGTTAATTTCTGAAAAAAAAGAATATGAACAACAAATATGTGAAAACATATGCTATGCAAAAAAAGTTATTATCTGAAAACATATCTGAAAAAAGGTAAGATATCACGTGAAAAAAATAGACAATCTTATAAAAATCCACTTCCTTTCGCGATGTATGACGACAAAATAACATCATCTTTACCTAAGCTTTCCCGAAAGTACTTCGTTGGCACAGTAATTTGGATGGACTATGGTTTCGACATTGCCTTCAACTATGTTCTGGGTCGCATAGAAGAGTGGATACATCTCATCATTCGGATATCCAAACTCGTCGAACACACCCCAACGTAACTTCGCCCACTCGTGAACCAAAGTCTTGCCTGTTGATGTAAAATGTTTCATCTGAAAACTACGATGTAAAGTGTCTCATCTGAAGAACATTCCACAATTCGAATGCCAAACTAAAACGAACAGAAAACAACCAAAATAACAGTTAGCTTCCCCCCCCCCCTAATATTCAGACCCCAATACCTTACCAAAACGGAATCGCTTATTTCGAGTCAGACACTTACTTCTCGGTCCCCAGACGTCTGCCTCCTTGTCATTGACCAGGTATTCGGGAGTGAGGTGCATGTACAGCCCAGGGTCGCCACAACCTCCCGGCTGCTCTGTGTAGGGCTGGTTGCCGTACACCCCCTTGGGCGCGTCTACTCTGATGTCGCTCTCCTGCGTGGGCGTGGAGAACGTGGCGGTTTAGAAATCACGTGTTTTATGAGCGAGCGAAAGAATGGTCTTGTTGGTTGGTTGGTTTTGATGTAATTTGAGGTTTTGATATACACGTGTGTTTCTCTCTCTCTCTCTCTCTCTCTCACTCTCTCTCTCCCTCTCTCTGTGCGCGCGCGTTTGCGTGTGCGTGTATCGTGTGTATGTGTGTGCACGCACGCGTGTGTCAAAAGCCAGTCTGCATGAATAAAGGAGCACTCCGAATGTCTTACGTCGAAGTTCTCGTTGAGGGCGACCGCGTCATAGGGCGTCTTCGTCCAGGACTTCGGCAGGAGGATCTTGACGTCCCTGAAGAAGGCCCTCTTCTGAGTAGCCTTGAACAGCACCTCAGAGGCGTCGCTGATCGTCTTCTGCGGGAGAGACCATCAAAGCAATGATTACTTGTGTTGTTTTTGATGTGAAAAATTCCCTTCTTTGCCAACATGACATCGTTTACTTTTTTTCTCTCTCTCTTAATCTATCTTTCTATCTATATTTTTATATATTACACACCTACACAGACACACATATATGTGTGTGGGTATACACACACACACACACACACACACACACACACCACACATATATGTATATATATATATATATATATATATATATATATATATATATATACATATATATATATATATTATATATTATGCATACATACATACAATTATATATATATATATATATATATATATATATATACATATATATATATATATCATTATATCAAAATGTTATACATGCATATATATATATATATATATATATATATATATATATATATATATATATATATATATATATATATATATATATATAATTATATATAAATGTATATATATATATATATACATATATATATACATATATATATATATATATATATATATATATATAATATATATATATATATATATGATAATATACATACACACGCATACATATATTTATATATATATATATTTATTTATATAAATATATATACATAAATACACACGCACACCCACTCATATATATAAAACATCTCTTCAGCGCACCTTGATCGAAGCGATGATATCCTCTGCGTAGGCCTCCTCCACCGAGGGCGAGATGGCCACCAGGACGCCCTCGTATCCATTGTCCTTCAGGCTGACGGTCGCCTCCGAGGCCGTCACCTCCCCCGTCGCCAGCAGGAGAGTGACTAACGCCGCCGCCACCAACTGCACCTGCGCTGCCATGACTCACCGGTGTGTCTGCACGTGAATCGGAATGGGGTTTACGGTTAGTGTGTGTCTTAAGTCTCCTCCGCTTTCTTGGTTTCTTTTGCTTTTGCTGTTTTTCTTGTTCTCTCTCTATTTCTCTTGCTCTCTCTCATTCTCGATTTCTCGCTCTCTCTCCTTATATGGACCATCATCAAACAGATAGATAAATAGACATATGGACAATATCAAACACACACACACACATCTAAATATATTATATATATATATATATAATATATATATATATAATATATATACATATGCACACACACACATACACACATATATATGCATATATATATGTATATTATATATATATATATATATATAATATATATATATATATATATATGCACACACACACATATGTATGTACATACATATATATATATATATATATATATATATATATATATATACATATATCAGTTTATGTCCTCTCTTATTTTGTCAATTGATAGGCAATTTACCTCCATAATTGTGATATTGCACTATTTGTATATATGCTCTATATCATGTACTCAAGAATTTTGTATGATTTTGTTATCTGAATTATCTCGTATATCATATATGTATTCACTAGTCAGTTATTTATTATGATATATGAATTATTAAGCATACTGAGCATCAAGTACTTGTATACAAATTTTTTATTCTCAATTGTTTATTTGAAAATGAGGAATTTTAGTGTTTGACTCTGTTTTATGTTTGATATTTTTACTTTGGACTGTCAAATTCCAAATAAAGTTATCTCTAAATTTACTCAATTGTCAATACAGGATAATTACTGTAATCTCATTTAGTATTGAACTGTAATTAACAATAATGTTACTGGTCGTTGATGTAACTGTGTATATATTTATGATGGTTTGTTATTTACAGTTAAGATCACACTGATGATGGGTGAAGTCGACCCGAAACGTTTGATTTATACTTTGCATTATCAAACTGAAGAAGTTTATCGCTTATTTTGTCAACCTTGAATTTTTTTCTGGCAACGTTGGTGTTGAGATTTATATACGTGTGTTTGTTTGTTTGTTACAATACAAACACACATACATACACACACAAATATATACACACACATACATATATTCATGTATGTGTGTGTGTATGTATCAGAGCATGCATTCACACGGGTATCTCCAACATACGCCATGTGAAAATATGCACTCCTACATAACAACAACAGAAAGGCGAAGACACATCTCAGCGGAAAGGAAAAAAATTCCAAGTAAACAGGAAACTTTACGTAACATTTGGTGGTCAAATAATAATGATCTGAACCTGAGCCAGACAAAGGCCTGTTGTGACATGCGGGGCAGCAATTTCCGCCTGGAGAATTTGGTTCGTGCGCGGAGAACAGTAACTCAGGATGTTTTAATGCAGTAGGAAAAGTTGGATACTCGTTGAGGGCAAAAGTCGGAAATGATTATGAAAAACGTAAACCATTCTATAACCTATAAATCATTAAACATTTATTTTGTTTTTGCTACCACTACAACTAGTAATTAAACGACTGTGTTTCTACTACTAATACTACTGTGGCTATTATAACATCTACTAATCATACTACCGTGTTTCTACTACTACACTGTTGCTGCCGCTACTATTGCTATTAATACAACTGTGCTACTGCTACTACTACTTGTATTACTACTGCTAATACTATTGCTAATTCTACAGTTTTTTTTCTACTACAATTATTACTTCTATTACCGCTGATGTACTACAATTATTACTTCTATTACCGCTTATGCTACTATTACTACTTATTCTGCTACTGTGCTATTGCTATTACTACTGCTGATAATCCTCTTATTGCTGCCATTGGCATTAGTACCGCTATGATGTTATCATTCGCAAGTATAACATTACTGATAAAAATAATTTTGAAAACATACTGATATTAATGATAGCAATGATAATCATGAAAAAAATGTGCCAATAGTAATGATAACAATGAAAATATTCTGTATATTATCTTTCACTAAAGAAAATAAATGATAAAATAGGTGCTGATATTTGTTACCCTAAAGAAGAGAGGAAGAATATCAAAGGTGATAACATGGGAGGGGGGGGAATGCAAACGAATATATGACATAAATGGTAAACGATAAGAAAGACAGATACAGATGAGATGATAAAAGAAGAAGTATGTGAAAAGTCTATGTTTCGAGAGGTCTTATCCCCCGATTGCAAAATTCTAAATGAAAACCACAAACCTTATTCTACATCAAACGGTATAACTTCATGCATAATGAGGATTGAAAAAAAAGATAATGTTGCTATCGCTCTCTCACACATTTTTACAAACACATGATTATGATTGTGCGTGAATGAGAAATTGCGTGTGAGAGAGTATGGCCATCCATTCACATTAGCTACCATGGCCACGCGCGACTTCACGGGCCTTCAGAAACACCCAGGGCTGGCATGGACCTCTACAAGTCTATAGGGAACCCAATGGCTTGACTGAATCTCGAAGAAACCTCACATATGAATTACTTTCCCGGCATTCGTTGACCCCCATTTGACTCTAGTTATTTTTCAACTTCTTTTTCAACTTGAGGTGTTTCTCGAAGCCCCCTTTCGACTCCTAGGCAAGAATACTTCTCCTTCGACCCATATAGACCTTGCTTCGACCATCCTATCGATCCCTGAGGTATACGAACCGGTCACAAACTCTTATCTCTCTCTCTTTTTCTCTCTCCCTCTCCCTCTCTGAGCCTATAATACGTACACTACGATCACTTGCAGTCACAAGCCGATTTCAGACTACTGTTTTTTGGTCACCAAAGCTATTAAAAAGTAACATCACCTGCAGCCAAACGCTAATGTCAAAACACAGCTTAAAGCACAGTAAACTATTTTTCGTTTGCCTGTTGCCAACGCTCTGGCGCCTCTGTCCACTTCACTTGGAAACACCTACATATCTCGACAATTAAGAAAAATGCCATATGTCCTTTGTGTGAATATTTCGGATCTGGGAGAAAACAGTTCGCATTAGGTATGGATGGCGTGTCCATATACCCATAACGGGTTTTAGGTAGATGATTACGTCAAACCAGTTGCTTATACTAATAAAGGTTTTAAGCGGGTTTGATGTTAATAACAGTTTTGTCCTTGTGTGGTAAACTGGGCTCTGTGGCAGGGCGGAGTAGATGCCGAACCCCCTTTTACAACCTGATCACTGATTAGATAAAACAAGTGGTTTGCATACGGCACGACTCTACGTAACACGTCCAAAGAAGGGACAAAATCAGCCAGAGAATACGGGAAAATGTGATTACCCTAACCGCTGAATTACACACACACACACACACACACACACACACACACACACACACACACACACACACACACACACACATATATATATATATATATATATATATATATATATATATATATATATATATATATATGGAAGGGGAAGGGGTAGCAATATTAGCATGAAAAGGCTTTATTACAAAGGAGTTAGTCCCATAGTGGAACAAGGCAATTGAGGTAGAAACAAACGGGGTAAACCTCATAATAACTACAGTATACATGCCACTTCATACATCGGTGTGGTAACAAGAAAATTCCCAAAAACTAATTCGAGACATGGGGATTTTAATAACAAAATTGACTGGGAAACTTTCGATCCCAAAGTGCAACCATATTCGTGGAATGCTAAATAAATAGAGTCATAAATGAGTATTGCCTTTTCCGTAATGTAAGAGATCATACCAAGGAAAGAGGGCTAGATAGACCGTCTATGCTTTACCTAATATTCGCAAAGCATAAAGATGTTATTAAGGATATCGAATACTGTCCTCCGTTAACGACGATATAGTGATTAAACTAAAATACTGTCTACTACAGGGAAAAAACTCCGTTAGTAAGGAAAGAAAGGAGAAACAATTATAACAGAAGTGATTATAGAAGCCTTACGGATTTATCTGATGGCATAAACTGGGAAACACTTCTGGGCGATGAGAACCTTGATGTTCAATATTTAAAAAAAATGTGTTGAAGTAATTGAAAAACACGAAATGATATCAAATAAGCAATTTGGTTTTAGAGAACGAAGGTCTGTTTACGTCTGTTTTTATGACAGAGTATCCACTACAGAATTCGGATTTATTACCTTGGAAAAAAGCAAAACGAGGGACATGGTTATGCGGTTCAAGTATATTACTGGAAGAGTGAAATTAGACAAAGATGACTTTATAACTTTGGACACAAGCAGGACGAGAGGACACAAAAAAGTTGAAAGTAAAAAGAGGCAATAAAGATGTCAAAAAAATTAGTTTCCAAAACAAAAATATTGAAGCATGAAACAGGCTTCCAAAAAACGTAGTGTGTGCCAAAAATGTGTCAGTTAAAACATTTAAATATAGCAGACGGGACCACCTGAGCTTAGCTCTTCTCCCGTATTGAAACAACTAGGTAAAACACACACACATAAATATATACACATAAACACATAAATATATGTATATCTATATGTATATAGATGTACATACACACATAAATATATGTATATATTTATATTTATATGCACACACACACACACACACACACACACACACACACACACACACACACACATACATACATACATTCATACATACATACACACACACATATGATAATATATATAATATATATATATATATATATATATATATATATATATATATACACTACATTTTTGACACCATAGGATCTGGTAAACTTTTCCATGATCAAGTGAACTCCTTGCTCCCGCACTCCACCCACGACTTGCTTCTTGTTGCTCTTGCACTCGTATTCAACAACGAACAAAATCCAATACGTACTTTAGCTTTGTCCGTCCTACTCGATTGATCCCATAAAACTAACGGTAAGGCGTGATCTTTCCTCTCTTTATATCAGCTGCTCGACCGGATATGATAGTGACGTCACACAATCACACAACAAAATCCGAGAATTTTTATCTTCGCCGCCATATCCCACGCCGGAAGAGGTGCCGATCTGACGCATTGAAGACTTTTTTTTTCTTTTTTTTTCCCCTCGATTCTTTATCCTTTCGTTCCGGTATCCCTTATATATCCCTTATATAGTCACGGTGAACGCTGTGTGTGCAGTACCTTTAGTATATGATGTCTGTAATGAATTTCAAAGGGATAATTCCGGGAAACGTGGCCGACGCTTTAAACTCATTTCTAACCGACCACGACGTACCCGCGAGAGGTGTACGTGCAGATTCATACGAACTGTACAGGGGGAAATACGCACATGCTCCCACGGACGCACATATGTGTACACACCTGTTTATTTATCTATCTGCCTACTTATCTGTTTATTCATTCATTCAGCTATCTATCTATATGTCTAGTTACCTGTTTATCTATCTAGCTACCTGTCTATCTATCTAAATATCAATCTATACCTGTCTATCTTTCTACCTAGCTACCTGTCTATCCTTCTATCTAGTTACCTGTCTATCTTTATATCTAGCTACATACCTATCTATATATCTCTTCATCTATCTGTCTTTATGTGTGTGTCTTTGTGTGGTGTGTGAATGCGTGACCGGATGCTTATATTGAAGTAAATAGACATGACAAATGTAGATACAGAATCTCCTTTTCTACCTCCCTACCTATCTACATCTCCATTTCATTTCACCGGAAATTTCAGCTTTTCAACACAATGATAAGCTTGACCATAAAAAAATTAAACGGAATTATCAGCGATATCATATATGCTATCCGGTGAGATACGGCACCTGCATTAAGCAAGAAAAATGAATGAAGGTGTAAATAGCTTATGCAAGAGCATGAGTCCGCTGAGTCACGTGGCCAAACATAATTCATTCAGCAGTGAGACATTACTCACTACGACAGAAATGGTGAACGTGTCATCTGAAAACAAAGGCAACAACAAAACAGCATAAAAAGTGTATTAAGGGAAAAGTGAAAGAAAAGGAATGCCATCTTTAAAGTGTATATTTTGGCAAAAGCGACGTTTTTTATTCATTTATTTATTAGTATTATTTTTTGTGCACGCAGCCCACATTGAAGAACAGACCATCAAACGAGCCATAGCTTGAAGGGTATAGTAGTCACCTATGAAGTGTAATCACACAGTTAATAAAGGAGAGAGAGAGAGAGAGAAAAGAGAGAGAGGTAGACACACACAGATAGGTAGATATCCACATGCATAGATAAACAAATAAAGAGAGAAATGGATGGACAGATAGATAGATAGATAAAGAGCCCAGTCACAGGGATTTCAAACAGTAGTCCAGGGTCTATTATAAACGGAGGTCCATAAGTGTGTATTCAACTCCCTAGCCGGGGTTCTGGGGGCGAAACTCCCACTGCAAATACTATGCATTATTTGAAATTTCTGATTTCACTTTGGATACTCTCTAGTACGGGGGAAATGTAATAAAAAGAATCACATTGTACTGAGACAGAATTGTATAGATTCATATTATAAACTCCCTATAAGACCTTACTTAACGTGAAAGAATAACAGCTCACCTCTGTATTAGAAACGGAAAATCCCAGATTTTAATAGAAACGGTAACAGTATGGTAACTATCTGACAGCTAACCAATAGTCCACGATATACCAGCAGCTACCATGCCTATTCTTTCTTATCTTTACTACAGCTCATGCGCGATATTCCTTCTAACAAATACGTTTTTTTTTTCTCTAATTACCAAAAACAATGAAAATTCTTTACTGTGCTTACCTCGATCTGAAATTTTAAGAACATGGTACCTGTCTTCGTTAGGGTACCAAGTGTTAGAACATCATAGAGGGACGCAGAATTACATCTAACTACTCCCAAAAGTTGACATTTTAGTTTTTGACGTAAAAGTTGTTGGTTAACAGATGTAGGTTACAAGTTCAGATGTCATGGTTATAGTTTATATTGTTTTCAGATCTATTATGGTTATGACTTGTAGTATTAGTTTTTAGGTCTGATGGTTATAAATAAGTTTTAATTTTTAGTTTCGAAGGTGTTATTAATTATAGTTGTAGTTTTTACTTATGGTTATAAATCATAGTTTTATTTTCCGATGTTAAAGTTATAAAACCAAGTTAAAGTTTTTAATTCCGATATTGTAGTTATGGATTATATTTTTGCTTCCGAGTTATTATAGTAAGATACGGATTCAAGTTACAATTGTAGTATTTACTCCTGATTTTCTTTTTTATTATTATGGATTACAGTTGATACAACCTTTATATCCTATTTTGATGCCGTAGACTGAAACCAGTTGGAACATACACAGTAAATCTGAAACATTGTCCCCTATGCAATTACATTCATTGCCACGGTGACTGCAGGTGTAGTATACAGATGCCAAAAGATGAGAAGAAATTAGGAGAAAAATCCACTTTGATGATTGCAAAACCGTAACTTTGAACTTATTATTTTTCATCTTTATTTAACCTATTACTATCAGCATTATCATCACTATTATTGCTATCATATCGTTAGTATCATCATCATTATCATCATATTAATATCATCGTATTTACTACTACCACTTATTTCATCATTATGATGATGATGATGATGATGATGATGATAACATTTTCAAATTGCACACTCATAGTCTTATTTTCCATATATCATTAAATAGGCTCAGTTTAATTGCCATAAATAATGAACGTCGCACATTGTAACAAGAAACTAATCAGTCCGCATCATATCTCTACGCTAGTCTTTTGCAACCAAAACAAATAAATCCACTGAACTTCCCGTATCTTCAAAATGCTTAAACTTCTGTCAATATATTTAAAGGGCCATCCATACCTAATGCCTGTCCAGATAATATGTATATATATATATATATATATATATATATATATATATATATATATATATATATATATATATATATATATATATTATATAATTATATATATATATAATATATTATATATATAAATATATATAATATAATTATATATATTAATATATATATATATATATATATATATATATATATATATTATATATATATTATATATATATATATATATATATATATATATATATATATAATATATATATATATATATATATATATATATATATATATATATATATATATATATATATATATATAATATATATATATATAATATATATAATATATATTATATATATATATATATTATATAATATATATTATATATATATATATATATATATATATATATATATATATATATATATATATTAATTATATATATATATATATATATATAATATATATTATATACATATATATATATAATATATATATATATATATATATATATATATATATATATATATATATATATATATATATATATACTTGAACTGCAAGTTTTTCATATATACATATTTGTTCTCTAACTTTTCATATATAGGTATTTGTGCCGTGAGATCTTGATATATACAAACAGGAAGTCCTATCTGGGACGTTTGTTAACCCTTTCCTAAAACACCTAATGTCGCATCCTGTTTTTTTTTCCTTCCTTATATGATCACCTAGATGTCTGACGGTCTAACCACGTAGGCACGTATCAGGCTCCGAATACTCCACCTCGGCACGTATCACGCATAGAACGCTTCACCTGGGCATCACGCACTCACCTGTATCACGCATAGCTTCACCTGGGCTGGGGCACGTATCACGCATAGAAACACGCATAGAACGCTTCACCTGGGCACGTATCACGCATAGAACGCTTCACCTGGGCATGTAGCACGGTTAACCAACTTCACCAAGGCATGCATTGTCTACTCTTCTCGTCAGATGGCAACGGGTGTAAATATATTCCTTGTTATGAAATAAGTTGTGACTAAAATAATATCAACGTAATCATTCCAATATTATCATTATTTGTTCACTGAATCACAGTTACAAACATTGAAACATGATAATAGTAAACACGTATGCAATATTGGTGTTCGCGTTCAACCAGATCCTTAGAAGACATTGAAACATTCTTTTTCATTATGAAATGACTTCAATTATTGCACATTATACTTTGTTATAGTGAATTTAGTTCACGTATACAATAATAATGCGCTGTGACTCTCCCTTATGACCCTGGAACCGGATACTGAAACCCGTTAATTAAGGCGCCGTATCTAATTAAGATGCCTTAGCTTACGGCCGAGCAAGGGATCCGCCATACTGGTACTAGTTAAGGCGCCGCAGACTAAGGCAGGGGGAGAGCAGCCTTAGCGAGTTACGGCGAACCATGAATTACATTTTTGTCTTAGAACAATTAATAAAACATTACAATTCGTGTTTTACTGAATTATAGTGTTAGGTGTACATGAACCGATCGTGGACTACTAAATAAAGCAACGTGTAATGTTCCAATATAACTGTGATTTGCTTTTCACGTTAGGTTAGGTGTTATATCTGTAAACAGTGCGGTCTTCGCCTCGGATGTAGATGATAGAGGATTATGATAAACAGAGACTTTTCTTATACTTTATTTTGTTGATAGCAAGATAATCATGGAAAGATGAAGAAAACGAAAAATGCCGATATCTCACAGGCTCAAATTTTGTCCAAAATTAAAGTATCATGGCTCATTTTGTAGAAAAAAATTACGTTATTCGAGATTTTTTTTTCTTTTTTTTCTTGTGCTTCTTGTAAAATTGACAAACGTATTTTTTTTCTCACTTTTTTGATTTTCGTGAAGTAGCCTACTTCAAAAAATCACAGAAAAGGAAGTCGAAATTCAAAAAAATATCTCGAACAAGTTGTAGCTATAGAACAGTTCTGTACAAAAATCAAATAAAATTGCATGTTTTATCGTTTTTGAAGACGTGAGGATTTCCACCCCTCGCTGCATAAAAAAATTTTTTTTTTTTTTTTTTTTTTTTACAATAATTCAAAAACTGTCTGGGTGATTTTGAAAAAAAAAACACCACAAAGATCAGGCTAAGGTCTGAATATAAGGGTGTGAGTTTCATCAAAATCGGCAAGAATAATCGAAAAATCGAAAGAAAACAATCCCATTTGAATCAAAGCTTACACCTAAGAACTTCAAGTTATCCACTGGTGATAAAGACTCCATTAATCAGCAGACTTGGATGCTGAGGCAACTGCGTTCGAAACCGACTCACAATCATTTCCTTAGACTTAGTAGGATTTAATTTCATGCCCCACCGAGAGCACCACGACTGAATCACCATCAGGTCTACAGTGAGACTATCAGCTACTATTTGCCTAGTTGCCGGAGAAGGAATATCAGCATAGAGAGAAGGATCATCAGCATATACTAACATTTTGTTAGTAATGCCAGTAGTATTGCCATATTTAAAATAGCATTATACATAACACCAATGATATCTAATGTGGATTTTTTAAAAAAGGTCAGTAAATAATATATTTTTTCTGATTATTCATGTTTATTGTTAACAAGACATGGCAATGCTTGCAGGTATATGGCCAATTGCTCTATACATAAAGCATATATATGTATGTCGTATATACTATAGTCCGTTCCACTGACTTTGGCACTAAGTTGGTCAGAAAGGGCCAAAACTAACGAAAAAGATAATAATAATGATAAAGTAAATAAATAATAAAAATAACAATAAATGAATGATAACTGCGAATTGTTATCAAAATCTAACGACTATTTTTCTTGATCAATTTTTTTTCCATCTCGAAGCCTCCAGTACCTGTGGAACTGACTACAGAAGACTGAAAATTTCTGCAGCCCACCCTGCATACAAGCCAAAAATCACATTTAATAATAATAATAATAAAAAAAAAAAAATAAAACAATACCTCGGACAAGAATCAGAAAAAAAACATACACACTTCTATGACCATTTTGACCTTTCGCTCTCACAAAAGGAAGACCGCATGACCGCACCGCCGTGCACACGTGTCATGCGGTCTGCCAAACGTTCCATGAGGTCTGTCACTTCATATCTCGTTTCAGCCGATGACGATGAGGGTGAGGGACAGGCCCTTCTTGTCAGCGGGGGGCGGGGGGGGCGGGGGGGTCGGGACCAGGGCTGCCGCTATGTTGGACACGAGGCTGCGGAGAATAAGAAGGGCTGTGGTGATAAGACTGATTATTGTTAAGTAGCAGCGATAGTGGTAGTGGTATTGGTGATAGTAATGACAGCGGTACAGCAGCTATGTCAATCATAATTATAATGATAATGATAACAATAATAATAACAACAATGATAATAATAACAATAATGATAATAACAACAATAATGATCATAACAATAATGATAATAATAATGATGATAATGATGATATTAATGATATTGATGATGATAATAATAATATTAATGATAATGATAATAATGATATTAATGATAATGATAATAATGATATCAATGATGATAATAATAATTATAATGATAAAAATAATAATGATAATCATAACAATAATGATAATAGTAATAATGATAAATGAAGTTAATAATAATAAATATATTCACGATATTAATACTAATAATTATATTTTGTACAATACAAAGTTCAAGGCAAAAAAGACAAATAAACAAACAAAGAAGTAAACAAATAAACAAATAAAACCCCCACCTCTCGTTGCCAGCGTCGTCGACCGCCCTGAGAGCCACCAAGTACGGAGTGTCAGTCTTGACCTCCTCCTTGAGCGTGAGGTCGAGGGTGACCTTCTGGCCAGCCTCGACGAGCAGGGAGGTCAAGTTAGCGCAATCTGCCACCGAGAGCAAGATCGTGGTGTTGCTGTTGTCAAAGTTGACCTCGTGGAGATAGGTCACGTTGTGGGCGAGACGAATTACGTAGCCGGTTACTGTGGGTAGAGGGGGAAGGAGGGAGTGGGAGGGGGGTGTCAGTAGTTTGTGGTGATGGAGAGGGTGGGCGTGGGGTGGGGTGGAATGGTGGTGAGGATGGGGTGGTGATGATGGTGGAGGGTGGGTGTAGTGGTGGTGTGGGGATGGGGGTGGTGGTAATGTGGTGGTGTTGGTATAGGGGTGGAGGTGATGGGTGGTGGGGATAGTGGTGGAGGGGTGGGTATAGGGGGGTGGGTAATGACGAGGATAATGATGGAAATGATTATTATTCTTATCATAAAGAAGATAACGACAAAACAATAAAAGTGGATTTAACAATAGTAGTAGTAATATTGATAAGAATGAGAAACATAAAAATGGCAACCTTGGAAAGAAATGCAAGAGAGAATGAGAGAGAGAGAGACAGACACACATACATACATACATACAGAGAGAGAGAGAGAGAGAGAGAGAGAGAGAGAGAGAGAGAGAGAGAGAGAGAGAGAGAGAGAGAGAGAGAGAGAGAGAGAGAAGAGAAAGAGAGAAAGAGAGAAAGAGAGAAAGAGAGAAAGAGAGAAGAGAGAGAGAGAGAGAGAGAGAGAGAGAGAGAGAGAGAGAGAGAGAGAGAGAGAGAGAGAGAGAGAGAGAGAGAGAGAGAGAGAGAGAGAGAGAAACACAGCCAGCCAGCCAGAAAGATTAAACAAGAAATAAAGAAACAGAGAGAAATAAAATAAAAAAAACACACACACACAAAGAACAACAACATCAGAACACACCACCACCAAAAACAATCAAAAACACACAAAAAATACAATAAAAAAGGAAAATAAAACAACCACCCACCTATGCCAGTATCAAAATCATCCCCTGTGGCAGTCCAGGTCAAGGTCAGGTTCGTTTTTCCCAAGGTCATCTGCAGGTCAGTTACCCGAGAGGGAGCGAAGGAATCCCCTGTGGGAATCACTGTCACCTGGAGAGGAGGAAGAGAGGAAGAGAGGAAGAGAGGAAAGGGGAAGAGAGGGAGAGAGGAAAGGGGAAGAGAGGCAGAGGAGAGAGGGAGAGAGAAAGAAGAGAGAGAGAGGAAAGGGGAAGAGAGGAAGAGAGGAAAGGGGAAGAGAGGAAGAGAAATTTAGTTATCACTGTAAACATTTTTTTCACTGCTATGCGCATATATTGTTTCATATATGAGTAAGTATGGTGGATGAGTAAATATTATGTATGAGTAAATATCATGCATGAGTAAGTATCATGGGTGAGTAAATGTCATGTACGAGTAAATATCGTGTATGAGTGAATATTATGTGAGTAAATATCATGCATGAGTAGTTATCATCTATAAGCAAATACTGACTATTTTTTTATGAGTAAATACTCATCTATGAGTAAACGTCATCTATGAGTAAATATCTATTAGTAAATATAATCTATGAGTAAATATCTATGAGTAAATATGATATAAGAGTAAAGACCACCGCCATTCTTATCAGGAGCTCACCTGGAAGGAGCCGCCGGGAGCAACGCGAGTGAAGTTTCCTGTCGGCGTGGCTGTCGCAGGGTCGAGGGGCACGACACTCCCGCAGCAGTAAGGAGTTTTATCTGTGGGAGGATTTTTCTTTTTTTAAGGTTGATGTTTGGTGTTGTTGTTTTATTTGGGTGGGTTGACGTGTGTGTGTGTGTGTGTGTGTGTGTGTGTGTGTGTGTGTGTGTGTGTGTGTGTGTGTGTGTGTGTGTGTGTGTGGTGTGTGTGTGTGTGTGTGTGTGTGTGAGTGTGTGAGTGAGTGAGTGAGTGAGTGAGTGAGTGAGTGAGTGAGTGAGTGAGTGAGTGAGTGAGTGTGTGTGTGTGTGTGTGTGTGCGTGTTATCTGTGTAAGTTTCTAATTTTGGATTTTTTTTTCATTACTGGGGCTCCACTGTTTTTTTCCTTTTTTCCAGGACTTAAATGAGTCGTTTTTATATCAGTGGTCTGACCTGTAGGAAGTTTTAGTTCTTTTGTTGATGACAAATCTCATGACAAATCAATCTCCGGTTTACTGAATAATATGAATATTTTCGTTATACCTTAAAATAGAAGATGAATCATCATGACCTTTTTCCTTAAATTAACTGCCACAATCAAATATATAATTAATTATTACATTCCTTTCCACTGGAAGAGGACAACAAATATGGTCCCGATACTATACTAAACAAAAACTACTAAATAAAAATAAATAAATAAATAAGAAATAAAATAAAATAAAATAAAACAATCCGGAAAAAAATAAACAAACATAAAAAAATAAAAACATATCCGGAATCAAAACATAAAAAAAGATAAAATAAAAATTCCGAAAAAAAACATAAAATGAAAAAAAAAAAGAAATCCGGAACCTAAACATATCAGACAAAAAAATATATATATATAAAATAAATAAATAAAATAAAATAAAAATAAAAAATCCACACGTTTCCGAATCCAAACCACTCCCCTACCGACCAACTCCCTGGAAAAGCTGAAAGGAAAGGGTTTCAAAAACTTTATTTCGCGGAAAAACTTACCGAGTGGATGAGCCGAAACGGACCGGATGTTTCGAGCGGCCGGATGACTTCTCTTTTTCCTGGATGTCGTGAAACCGTTGTTGACGAGGGCGCTGCCGTCGTTCCATACCTGTGGGGGAGATGGGGGAGATGAGGGAGAGGTAGATGAGGTAGATGAGGGAGAGGTAGAAGAGGAGAGGCTGGTGTATAAGGAGGAGGAGGAGGAGGAGGAGGAGGAGGAGGAGGAGGAGGAGGAGGAGGAGGAGGGAGGAGGAGGAGGAGGAGGAGGAGGAGGAGGAGGAGGAGGAGGAGGAGGAGAGGAGGAGGAGGGAGCAGCAGCAGGAGGTAGGGGAGGGGGAGAGGGGGAGGGGGAGGGGTGAGGGAGGGAGTGAGGGTGGAGGAGGGGTGGAAGAGGGGAGGGGAAGGAGAGGGGGAGAGTGAGGGTGGGGTGGGGGTGGGGAGGTGGAGGAGGAGGAGGAGGAGGAGGAGGAGGAGGAGGAGGAGAGGAGGAGGAGGAGGAGGAGGAGGAGAGGGGAGGAGGAGGCAGCAGCAGAGGAGAGTAGGGTGAGGGGAGAGGGGAGGGGGAGGGGTGAGGGTGGAGGAGGAGGTGGAAGAGGGGAGGGGAAGGAGAGGGGAGGAGGTGAGTGGGGGTGGGAGGTGGAGGAGGAGGAGGAAGGGGAAAGAGGGAGGAAGGGGGAGGGGGAGGGTGGAGGAGGAGGAGGAGGAGGAGGAGGGAGGAGGAGGAGGAGGAGGAGAGAGGAGGAGGTGGTGGTGGTGGAGGAGGAGAAGAAGAAGAATTAGAAAAAGAAGTAGAAGAAAAAAGTAAGTGTGAATAAAAAAAAGATGATAATGATAACACCAACAATAATACTCATAATGATAACAATAATGATAATGATAATAATAATAATAATAATAATAACAATAACAATAATTATAATATAAATACTAATATTATCATTACTACTACTACTAATAATAATAATCAAAATGATAATAGTAATACTAATATTAATGATAAGAACATTATAATAATAATAAAAAAATAATAATAACAATGATGATGATGATAATAATAATAATAATAGTAATAATAATAATAATAAAAATAACGATAATAATCATAATAACAACGCTGATAAAAATAACAACAACAATAACAAAAACAAACAAAACGAAATCAGCAACACTCAAAAACAACCCCACGCTCTCCACAACTGACCTGAGCCTTGACAGAATACCTCCCGACCGAGGAGTACGTGGTAAGATAGCCGGAGTAGGTACCGTCTCCTGCCTGGGCATCTCCTCCATTGCCGTTGTCGTAGAGTTCAAGTTCTATGGGAGCGCCGGCTGAACTTGTTTCGCTTATTAAAGCTCTGGTGATGCGATGGGAAGTTCAGTTGGGTTTTGATGCTTAGGGTTGGAGATGGTGTTGGTGGAGGGGAGGGTGGTGGAATGGTGTTGGTGGTGGGGTGGAGGGGTGGAATGGGTGTTGGGGAGGGGGGGAGGTTTGGTGGAGGGGTGAGTGTTGTTGGGATGTTGTGATGCATTTATGGGGTGTTGGTGTGTGTGTGTGGGGGGGTGAAGGTCTGGTGGAGGGGTGAGTGTTGGTGGGATGTTGTGATGTGGTTGTGTGGGTATATGGGGGTGGGAGGTCTGGCGGTGGGGTTATGATGTCTGATGGAGGTGTAGTGTCGTTGAGTTGTTGTGATGTACTGGTATTGTTGATGTGGTGAAATGTCGGGTCGTTAAGATATGATATTGTTTGAGTAGCATCGATACGGTTAAACGTATAATGCACAACTTTGATGTCAAAATCTTATTGGTTTGAATATCAGTTGCTAATATATGCTCAATGAACATATCAGCAGCACTATGATGTGATATATGAGTATTGTTGATGCGGTGGAACATCAAATCCACATGATATAGTGTCACGGTAATGTTATTGTGTGAGTATCATTCTATCGTGAGTTTTAGTGTCGTCCGCTAAGCTAAGATTGTCTGTGTGTTTAGCTGAAAGTTTCTGTTATTTTGATTTCTTAGTAATACTATTTCCAAATCTGTGGTATTGTGAAATGTTAAAAAATGGTGCATTCGTTCTTCATATACTATTGTTATCCTTCCGTAACTATTGTAGACTGATATAGAAGAGAACGGTAAAGAACAACAATAAAACAAAAGAAGTGAAAAACATCAATAGCTATAAACTA